TATCACATTTAATTACTCCTACAGCTTTGTATCTGGTATTATTACATAATTTAGCAAAACAAGAACGAACCATTTTTTATTTAGCAGTACTTCTTGATCACTTCAATTATTTATTCGGAGTTATTCGTACCGATTCTTACTTAAAATGCAGCTAGTTAGTTCTTGATTTGGCCACTTCCGGACCTGATGGCTCTGAGATCTTGGATACACATTACAATCAGAACTGTAGGCAAATGGGATCCTCCCTAGTCGATCTCAGGTTCTCTCAGCTCATTAAATTACGCTGAAAACCTCTATCTCTGTTGTGTAACAGTGACTACATTTACACCCTTAATCGAGTTTAATAACATCCGTAGTTATGAAACTGGCCAATCACAATCATTCCATTCTCCCGAGGAAAAGCTGTGATTGGCCAATTTCATAACTATGGATGTTATTAAACCCGATTAAGCGTGCCGTGTAGCAGAGCTCACTTGACAGGACTAACAGGTATGCCTTAACACTTTAAATTGTACGAGTATTGGGAGACATTCAGAGTACGCTAATGTGTCCCAATACTCGTACAATTTCAGGTGTTAAGGCATATCTGTCACCGTCTGTACATATAACACAGATTTTTACATGAATACTGAATTGACATTTTTGAATAGCGCGCACTAATCCTGAATATGGCGGTGCACACTTGAGTATTTCTACAATTTGACTACCGCGCTAGTTGGCGAGAGCGGACAAAATTTTTCAGGCTTCTCTCTAGTCTCTATCGTTATTCAATCCATGATGTAAGAAATCATAACAAATAAATCGTATATGTGTACTGTGATAAATTGAGAATGTAAGATTATTGATTGAGACGAAATCCTTTGTTTTATTATAAGTTGTATTGTACTGTACGTCATATAAGTAAGTAGAAACTGTATGTGGATTTAATTTTTACTATCCAGTCGCTATCGTTCAGCAATATGAATTCGAAGAAGACTATAACTTTCGGCAAGATAAGCGCCAATTTAGATAAACTGACACCCGAAGCATCCATCGAAACCTCTAGCTCCGGATTCGGCATTTTCGGTAAGAAACGCGAGGAAAATAATGTCAAGAAAATGGACGAGATCAGGCCGGAGGACGAGGAGGAAACCCAGAGTATACAGAAATTGATGGGCATCACGGGCTTTGGTAAGAAAGCCAAGTCTTTCGACGTGCAGGAAATGATGGAGAACATCACCAAGACTATCAACAGTAATAAAGCAAACACGGTCGAACAAGAAAAATCCGACGAAGTTGTGGAATACAAAAAGGATGAGGTAGACGACGATGATGATGATTTTATTGGTCCTCCGATACCTCCGTTACCTGTTATTTCAGACGCAATCAAAGATTCAAAGAAGGACACCTTGGTGAGAATTTTTTGTAATGTCCTTATTTTTCAGAATTTTTATATAAATTTTTTAGACTTTTTTCAGAATTTTTGTATAATTTTATAAATTTTTAGAAAATATTTGGATTTTTTATGTACGAGTTGAACTTCTAATAAGAAACCAATTCAATTCTCCTTGAAATATATTGTTAAACACGAAAATCTAAGAAATACATATTTTAACAATATATTTCAAGGAGGATCAAATCAGTTCCAGACAGTTGTGATAGATGTTTCTTGTCAAGCATGATTTTGCTAAGAAACTTTATATCTTTTTAGAATTTTTTGTATGTGTGAATTTTCAAACATTTTATGATTTCTAAGATTTTTCATTGTATAATTTCTGAAGAAAACTTATAAAATCTGAAAAAGTTTAAGTTATTTTAAAAAAAACCTTAATAAATTTAAAATATGACGAATATTGAAGATATGAGATAACATGAGAAATTGTTTCACCTTAGAACAAGAAAAACAAAAATGACGATGATGACGACGATGATGACGATGATGACGATAAAGAATCATCGGACTCCGAAGAGGAAGAAGAAGTAACATTAAGGGACAAAATTCCTTGTTCGCATGAAGTCTCAATGACTCATGGCACTAAAGCGATAATCGCCATTGCTGCGGATCCATCCGGAGCTCGACTAGCGTCTGGATCCGTCGACTACGACGTCTGTTTCTGGGATTTCGCTGGTATGGACACGTCCATGAAGAGTTTCAGGACCTTGCAACCCTGCGAGAATCATCCTATCAAGTGCCTGCAGTATTCCATGACTGGAGACGTGATATTGGTGATCTCAGGAGCGGCGCAGGCGAAAGTCTTGGATCGGGATGGCTTTGAGAAATGCGAGACTGTCAAGGGTGATCAGTACATTACGGACATGGCGCGTACAAAAGGCCATACCGCCAGTCTGAACAGTGGCTGTTGGCATCCGTTCATCAAAGAGGAATATCTGACCTGCTCTCAGGACAGCACTTGCCGAATATGGAATTTATATAGGCCACGCTCGCACAAGAATCTGATAAAGTGTAGAGCCCAAAACGGCGTGAAGACTATTCCCACGACGTGCGCCTACAGCAGGGAAGGCGCGGCTGTTGCATGCGGCTGCATAGACGGCTCAATTCAAATGTGGGATCACAGGAAGAATTTTGTGAATCCGTCTCTCGTGTTGCGAGGCGCGCACGCACAATCCAGCGAGGTGTCGAGCTTGAGTTTCGCGTACCTCGGGCAAATGCTGGCAAGTAGAGCTTGCGATGATACTCTGAAACTGTGGGATTTAAGGGCGTTCAAAGTACCAATATTCGAAGCTAAGGAACTGTACTCACGTTATGATACCACGGATTGCATGTTCAGTCCGGATGACTCAATGATCGTCACGGGAGAATCTCTGAATAAGGGAAAAACGACCGGCAGGGTGCTGTTCTACGACAGTAAGACGTTTGACCTAGTAAGAGAAATTCCCGTGACAAATTCACACGTAATAAAAACTCTTTGGCATCCGAAATTGAATCAGGTGTTTGTCGGCTGCGGCAATGGCATAGTCAAGGCATATTACGATTCTAAGAAGAGTTTAAGGGGCGCCAAGCTATGCGTCGTCAAGACGCACATGAAACAGAAGCATATCGAGATAATGTCCACTCAGCAAATCATAACGCCTCATGCGCTTCCTCTGTTCCGCCAGGATAGGCCCAAATCGGTTCGTAAGCAGATGGAGAAGGATAGGCTCGATCCAGTGAAATCGAGGCGTCCAGATCTGCCTATCACTTCGGGGCAGGGTGGTAGAGTAGCATCCTCCGGAGGAACTCTTAGTTCTTATGTCATACGCAATCTCGGATTGAGCAAACGGATAGAGGACGATCAGGATCCCAGGGAAGCTATTCTGAAGTATGCAAAGATAGCTGAAGAAGAACCATACTGGATAGCACCTGCTTATAAGAAGACACAGCCGACAACGATTTTTCAAAGCGACGATCAAGACAGCGGACCGAGTAATAAGAAACAAAAAACATAGACTTTTCTAATCTTAAGAGAACTTAGACGTATATTTATCTTGTATATCAGCATTGTGTAATTATATGTGTATCTATGTACAGTACATATAGCGAATTAATGAAAAGAGAATAGTTTTGTTGTAAATATTATATTATGTGATTATATTGTACATCCGGCATTTTATTTATATTTATACCTCGTTTATTTAATAGTTATTTAATAGATTTGATTTCATTAATCTCGTATAAATTTTTAATTTGTATGATCAAATGACTCATCTTTTGTATCTGATAAATATTTATTGCATGTATGTTTTCTGTGTGTTTTTATAAATGAAATGTAGACTACGTTTTATTTATAAAAAAATATCTATATAATAATAGATAATAATAAATAATAATCTATTATAATAGATAATAAATACATACAACAATCTGTTATTATATATGAATAAAGCTGTTCAGTTTTTAGAAACTATTAGCAATATTATATATATCTTTTCTTTTTGTAAATAAAGAACATATTTAATTAAAAAAATATGTATATATAATATTTTGAATAAAGTTTCGTTTGCAATCAGATTTTGGAAAATATTGACTACATGTGGATCTTTCTTACAAAGGTAAAATTGTTTAATTTATGGAAAAAATTTTTTAATGTTATATTTAATTTATAAAGTAAATATACCTATTACATTTTTTAAGCTGCGTTCACAAATTTGAGCGATTAGATTTGAGCAAATAAATAATTTGCTAAATTTAGAACGATATATCACGTACAGCACCTCTAGGCTGCGTTCCACATAACGCTCGCAGTGCTCGCGAGCATCGTTTGTCCTCGTTTAACATTTGATAAATGACGAGGATGAAATGATTCCACGAGCGTTATGAGCGTTAAGTGGAACGCACCCCTAGACAACTGTTGCGTTCTTTGAATTCCTTTCCGAAGCCAGCCTACGATAACGTGATCCGGCATGAACCTGACCTAACCTAACCTCGTATAGTCTAATCACCATTCAACTACATTCAACGTTCAAATGTGGAAGTCGGATTTAGAATTTGCGACGCCATTCGAATGACTGGAGACAGAATTTGCGCGGGTTTTCGCAACGTGACGATAAAGTAGTTATTCGAGTCGGAGCTAGTCGGAGCTGTAAAACCTCAAGCATTCTCGAATGGTTTTGAGTTGTATATATACAATCACGTAAAGATAACCCTAGTTGTTTTCCATCGTGTAGGACGTTTCTGGATAAACATGGCCAAGAGAAAATCCTTAAATCGTGTATCCCGACGATACTCCAAACGTAGATCCGTCGATTCTATCGGTTCTGGACATCTCGATCCTGATACATCCATCGTGGATGAAGGTAGGAATATTTTTCTTTCATCATTTTTCTACGACATAACTAAAAATTATCATTTTTTTGTGAACTTGCAGAAGATCAACAGAAACATAAAGAAAATAAACAACGTATTTTAAAAGAACACACTTTTATTTTACTACAATTATAATTATTATGTTTATTATACATTATTATTATAAATTATCATATATTGAAATTATATTTCAAATTTAGTATTCTAACATTTTAATAATTTAAAATGTTGAAACTGATTTTCTGGAAACTTTGTTTCTTAAATTATATTATTGTAGCAAATAAGCACCTTTATTTTACGACATTACCTTTGTTATAGACAAATTAAAAGTCAAAGATGGTTTTAATGTAATTTTGACACATTCTTCTTTCCGCAGAACAAACATTATGGTGGAATAACTTGGAAGAGAATACGTTCCCTCCACATTCCATGATTCACAGTGAAAATGAAACGCCTAGGATGCTGAGGTCTAATTCAAAGATCGATACTAGCCAGAGTTCTGATCCTACAGGATGGTGGAAGAATTTGAACTCTGATTCCGAACCCATTGCTTCAAAAAGCTCGAGGCGCAGCGCAGGTATAAATAGGCAGAATATTTAATTTATTCTTTTTAGTTTTTTTGAACTCTTCTTTTATGGTTTATCTTTTCGTTTTTTCTTTTCAAGTTGAAGAGTAAAAAAGGAAAGCTGAACTGTGCAAAAAGTTCAGCTAAAAGAATAAATTTTTCAACTCTTTATCTGCAATCTGGATCTTTTTTGACGCAAGCGAAATTTTACTCAGATTTCTCCAAATTGAAGCAGAACAGAGTTCTGTTCCTCCTCCTAAAATATCTTGTTAAAAAACTGTCTGGTAATGTAATAGAGATGTTGAAAAATAACCTTGAACTTTTTCACATTTTTTGAAAGACTAGAACAGTAAAAAGAACTTTGGCTAGATGGAGGAAATAAAAATATTATATGATTGCAGATGGAGTTTTGCATTATAGATATTTTGCATCATAGATATTGTAGTACTTATAAGATATATTATTATTTTAGCAATAGTTGAAAGTCGTATGTTGCAAATTTCGACATCTGAGACATCTGAATCAGAGAAAGAGCTTAATTTAAGAAAGAGGAAGGTTCGTTTAAAAGCAAGTAATAGGAAAAGTATTAATAATGCTTTCGCAAATGCTTTGAATGATCCCGAGGCAACTATGCCATTAAAAACGCGGATGAAACAAGTCCGCTCTGAAGTACATATCGATTCAGACAGTGAATCTTTTCAAGGAAGGTCGCAGGAAAATGAAGAGGATAGTAATTCGAGTCCAACTTCGAAGATTTTGAAATTAAAGCCAAGTATTAGAACAAGAAGAGGTGGAGATGGTATGAAAGATCAGAACGCCTTTCAGGATGTACTAACGGAAGATAATGTTTTGAATGCCAGCACTGCGAAAACATCAGTCGCGTTTGAAAAGGAATCCTCGCAGCGTTCGATGCACCGAAATATTAATATGAGTAAAGATCATATCGATCAAAGGAAATCAATAAGATCGCCTCAAACAATGCCAAGTATTTTGAGAACAAGAAAAAGTGGAGGTATGAAAGATCAGACCGCCTTTCAGGATGTACCGTTGGAAGATGATGTTTTGAATGACAGTACTGCGGAAAAATCAGTCGCGTTTGAAAAGGAATCCTCGCAGCGTTCGATGCATCAAAATATTAATACGAGTAAAGATCATATTGACGATCAAAGAAAATCAATAAGAGCGCTAGAGGATATTGAAACTGGTTCGTTAACTCCAAACGTTAAGAAGGCAGTGCCTGAGAATAACGTTGAGATTGAAAGCAGCGATGAAAGCATCATTATACCTCGTCAACATTTAAAATTTATGTCTCGCTTTATGCAGCGAGCGCGGAAAAGCATAGGAAAAAATGTGTTTGCAGATGTTCTAGTTTATGATAGTAACGCAAGTTCGTCTACGTCCATTCCAAATAAGGAAAACAATATTCATAGATCTTCAATTCGTAAAAGTCCAAGATTGTCTTTAAATAAATCTAAAAAGCAGCAATCAGATGTATCGGTGCAAGATAAAGATAATATTGAATCAAATTTGAGCAGCTTATCCTTTGATAACGATGAATCCCGCGGAACGAAAAAGTCTATATTTTTTAAGCCAAAATCAAGAATTCTAACACGTTTCCGTAAGCGCTCAACTAATCCGTTCGAAGAAATTTTGGAGCAAGGTAATATCAGTGATAGAAGAAGTAATGTTTCATTTGAAGATAATTGTGCTTCTTCTGAGCGAGAAACTACAAGAAGAATTAATCAGGAACGTGAATCTTTAGCAACACAGAAAAATCCACAATCAGGAAAGTGTAGTACTACGAATGAGGAAGATTCTTATGAAATATTTCTCGAGGTGTCATCAAACGCAGAGAAAAATCGATCTAAGGAAGCTAATATATTATCGGAAGACGAGAATAAACTATTAGAAAACAGCGATCTCAATAATGCTTCAAAATCAGTTTCTCGAAAGAGTGTAATTGCTAAATCGTCAGAAGAAAAGATTTCCAACCTCAAGTTTATTAGGGAAAAAACTTTGAAGGAAATCGCATGTGCAAATGCAATATCGCCCATCGGTAGATTAAGTACTAATGTAGTAATACAAGATGCAAGTGATGATTCACATGCTGACATAGATGTAGAACACGTACATTCATCCGAATCAAGTTCTGATAAGGAAGCTCGTTTGACGCGTAACAATCTAAGAATTCGGTCTGAAACACCTGTGAATATAGAAGTACGTGAAGCTAATGACAATTTACACAATGATGCAAATAGAGAACATGATTCAAGTATGCTCAAACGATCATCTAAATTAACTCCTAGTAAGGAAACTCGTTTGACGCGTAACAGTCTAAGAATTCGGTCTGAAACACCTGTGAATATAGAAGTACGTGAAGCTAATGACAATTTACACAATGATGCAAATAGAGAACATGATTCAAGTATGCTCAAACGATCATCTAAATTAACTCCTAGTAAGGAAACTCGTTTGACGCGTAACAGTCTAAGAATTCGGTCTGAAACACCTGTGAATATAGAAGTACGTGAAGCTAATGACAATTTACACAATGATGCAAATAGAGAACATGATTCAAGTATGCTCAAACGATCATCTAAATTAACTCCTAGTAAGGAAACTCGTTTGACGCGTAACAGTCTAAGAATTCGGTCTGAAACACCTGTGAATATAGAAGTACGTGAAGCTAATGACAATTTACACAATGATGCAAATAGAGAACATGATTCAAGTATGCTCAAACGATCATCTAAATTAACTCCTAGTAAGGAAACTCGTTTGACGCGTAACAGTCTAAGAATTCGGTCTGAAACACCTGTGAATATAGAAGTACGTGAAGCTAATGACAATTTACACAATGATGCAAATAGAGAACATGATTCAAGTATGCTCAAACGATCATCTAAATTAACTCCTAGTAAGGAAACTCGTTTGACGCGTAACAGTCTAAGAATTCGGTCTGAAACACATGTGAATATAGAAGTACGTGAAGCTAATGACAATTTACACAATGATGCAAATAGAGAACATGATTCAAGTATGCTCAAACGATCATCTAAATTAACTCCTAGTAAGGAAACTCGTTTGACGCGTAACAGTCTAAGAATTCGGTCTGAAACACCTGTGAATATAGAAGTACGTGAAGCTAATGATAATTTACACAATGATGCAAATAGAGAACATGATTCAAGTACGCTCAAACGCTCGTCTAAATTAACCCCTAATAAGGAAGCTCGTTTGACGCGTAATAGTTTAAGAAATCGATCTGAAACATCAAAGCCTGCGAATATAGAAATACATGAAGATATTAATAATTCGCGCAATGATGCAAATAGTGAACACGATTCAAATATGTTTGAACAATTGTCCAAATCAACTCCTAGTAAGGAAGGTCGTTTGATGCGTAACAGTTCAAGAAATCAATCTGAAACACTGAAACCTATGAGTAAAAATACGGAAGTCTCTAAGCTGTCTATGAACTTAATTTCCAATGATGATAAAGACAATAATATAAATGTTGACTCGGAAACAAGTACTGATAGTACAGTGTATCTAATAACAAGAGCAGATATACATTCTGAAGATAACACAAACACAGGAACACAGAAAAGCACTAGTCTGTCAATTGAAAAAGAAATAACTGATGACGAAGATGCAGAGCCTGCGACGCAAACAATTCACCGAAATTCCCCATCGACAAAGTCTGGAACAAGCAGTAAAGTAGTAAATCGATCTAAAATATCGAAATCTATGAGTAAAAATATGGAAACCTCTAAGCGATCTACAAACTTGATCGCCGATATTGAAGAAGACAATAATGTAAATGCAGACTCAAAAACAAGTGATAGTATATCGCATACAATAATGAGAGCAGATATACGTTCTAAAGATAACACAAATATGGGAACACAGAAAAGCACTAGTCTGTCAATTGAAAAAGAAATAACTGATGACGAAGATGCAGAGCCTGCGACGCAAACAATTCACCGAAATTCCCCAATGACAAAGTCTGGAACAAGCAGTAAAGTAGTAAATCGATCTAAAATATTGAAATCTACGAGTAAAAATATGGAAACCTCTAAGCGATCTACAAACTTGATCGCCGATATTGAAGAAGACAATAATGTAAATGTAGATTCAGAAATAAGTGATAGTATATCGCATACAATAACGAGAGCAGATACACATTCTAAAGATAACACAAATATAGGAACACAGAAAAGCACTAATCTGTCAATTGAAAAAGAAATAACTGATGACGAAGATGCAGAGCCTGCGACGCAAACAATTCAACGAAATTCTTTGACGAAACCTGGAACAAGTAAAACAATAAATCGGCAAAGCGTGCAGAATTCAAATAGGACCAGCATTGAGGACAGAGAAATTGCACATAGACAAAAAAGTTTGGGCAAGTCTCAAAACTATCGCAATACGCCGACTAAATCGTCAAGTAAAGATATTTCTTCCAATAAGCAAAGTTCATCTAAGACACTGAACAAAATAGATGATTTTTTCGTCAAAATAAAAGAAACTTCGGCGAAACAACTAAGCGAATGCGCGCAAAAGTCGCCAGTCTTCGACAGTGAGAAAATGAAGAAGATTAAAATGGAATTGGAGAAATTAAAGAGTCGTGAGATGGCCGCGATGAAAAGAAACTCGACCGATAAGAAAGCATCCGCAGTAAAAAAGGAAACAGTGAAATGTTTTATACCTGAACAAGATACAAAGAAGAAGAAGCCGCTCATGAATTCTACGAAAGTAGTGGATAAGGCATTTCTAGTAAATGGAAAAGTATATAGACCACCAAGACTTCCTCGTCCGAAACATTGGGCTACAGATCGTCTTTACAAGTTTCTGTGGAAACGATTGGAGCCAAAGTACAAACTGGCCACGAGAGTGAAATCCGAGAAATTCGTGCAAGAATTAGCTACAGTAGTAACTACTATTGAACGTCGTAAGAATTACGAAAATTATAAGACCGAATTAAAGGCCCTGATGAAGGAAATGACTCGTTTGAAAATTATCAATACTCGTATGGACTTTTATCATTTCTGTCAGGATTTTTTACCATATGAGTTTCGTATTAAAGTCATACCTATGACATTACCCGGCAATAAAAGTAATATTCCCTTCGATCCAGAAAATGTGCACACTCCTTTACTTGATACCGAATGAGTCATTGTTGAAATTACAATACGATAGAATATATTAATTATGTTTATTTAAGTTGTGCGTGTGCGATTTCATTCTTTAATCTTAAATGTACATACATGTATTCAATAAAAATTAATATTATTTTGTTAATTAACATATATATAATTGATAATATATTTTTGATGAATACAAGTAAATGGAAATGTGAAAGGTATTGATGTTATATTTTGATATTCAATAAAAGAATTTTTGCAGCTTATATTCTCTTGATACTTTGTCGCTTTTTGATATTTTTTTTATTTTAACGAATTTGTAAAAAATAAAATCAACTGCATCAGTTAATTTAACTTGGTCCTAATTAAACTTAAATTTAATTATAATCCTTTACTTTTGTAAATTAAATTAAAACAAATAGAATTAAAGTTTTTAAAAATAGCATGAAGTTATATTATTTCTTTCTTCTTTTCTTTCTATTGAATTTCTTTCTATGATGAGTAATACTTTATGCCATTTTTAAAAACTTCAATTTTGTTAATATAAATTAAATAATGTTGAATCAAGGCCCATTAGAGATGAATCTATGTGAACATAGATATTGGTGTGAAAAATAAGTAATATTAAAATCAAACTCTCGAAATTTAATATAACGATTAAGGCAATGAGAGTCAGATATGCGAACAATGTGAAAAATAAATCATCTTTCACACCAATATCCTGTGTTTGGCTCTAAAAGGCGTCACCTCATCGACTGATTTAGTTTTATTTTTTATTGTATGTAATGTACATGTGTACGCATAATTTAGATATATAGTAATACATGTATACAAACAGAACGAAGAGCTAAAAATTATTTGCTAAATCAATATGTTAATAATTTAACGTGTATAAGTTGTAATGTCAATTTAATATTTATTAGTTGAAAATTTTATGTAGTTATAATCAACTATATAAAATTTTCAACTAATGGATATTAAATTGTTATAATTAAAATATATGGACGTTAAATTATTGATATATCGATTTATTGAACTATTCTTAATTTTTTTTCTATTTGTACGTATATATTACTATATCTAAATGGTATCATCGAAATATGTAATAATACCTAAAAGACGATTCTAGTTAAAACATTAAAGACAACTTAAAATAAAATCTCGAAGACGTCATAAATCAGAAGATTAAATATCTTAAAGACGTCATACGAATTTTTTCTGATAGTTTTATGAGATATCTTCGAAATTTTAAGACAATGTTTACATGATTTCATAATGTTATAATTTTTTCTTTGTCGATATTTATTATACTCTCATCTTCCTGTTGATACTCCGTTTGGCATGTTCGAAACGTGAATCATTCCCACGTCTTTGATACTTGATACTTTGATATTCGCACTTTAAGCGATCAGTATTGCGTGTTTATTTACTTATTCCGGTTTACGTACGCATCGTTTGTTTGTATAGCCGTGTTATATATAGACCTATTGTGATATCTCTGCGATTATAAATATCCCCCTAATCTCATTTGCTCTATACGACAATCTTTTTGCTCGTAAACACCTTGTTTTTTCTATGACGTTTAAAACAAAAATTATGCTGCTTCATGACACGGATGGATAGGACAACATTAGACAAATTGTCAAAGATTAAATATCTATAATATGTAAAATTACGAAGATTATTAAAGTTTTTCTCTTAGGGATAATTTAATTTAATAAATTAAAGATTTACAAATTCTTTCTAATAAATTTAATTAAATCAGAGCTAAGAAAAATTTTTCGAACAATTTGAATTATTTAATTTAATTTTTAAATTTATATATATATAATTTACTTTATTGCAAAGCTCTGTGAAAAGTCTACATATTAACAGAATAATAGATTATAGTTATGTTATTGTAGCTTTTCGGAAATATTATCACGAATTGAGATACAAGGTTCATGTTCCACATTGAAGAAAGAAATGTCTTTGGTGTTTTTAACATATTTAGAATTCACAATCTTTATAATTTTAATAAAATTCTTTTTCAAAACAGATAAATCTATTTTTTATTTATCTTTAAATAAAAAAAATTAATATATATTAATCGTCAATTAATCGATAGTTCTAGTGTTGAGCACACTAAGTGCTAGCAACCATCAGTCCAGTATTCTAATTATACAAGCAAATGTGTCACATTTGTTGCGTGCCGAATGACCATGACGCGCCGACTTTTGCAAATATTTGCGACAAATAGAACGTTGCATTGACGTAACGGTGCTCATGCAATCCGTGACGCGTTCGATAACAAAATTCGATAGTAAAACGAGTACCAGGATTATGTTTCGTTTATAATTATTAAATAAATTTCAAATTTCCATTTTAATATCCATTAAAAATTTTTTTTCCGAAAGGTAATATTTTTTAATAAAAGGTTAATTTTTAAAAAGTTAATTAATCGCGAAATACACATATTTATACACAAATGCAAATTTTGTTTGGTTTGAAGTCTAATCTCTATAATAGAATTTTCGTACTGACCGCACCTCGATTAAATTTATTTTTATCGGGCCGCAATATCTGAGCGCGTATTTCCATTTTAATATTAAAAAAAAACATTTTTTTTAATAATAGAAAAAAAAATTTTATTATCAAGTTGGAACGAAAGTTTGTAGTGCTACTTCACTTATACCTACAGATTTTTAAGAAATACTTTTTTAAAAATTTTGTAATTATACTATTCAATAAAACAAAGTCTCAGAATTTGTTTTTTAAATTGTGGTGCACTACAAGATGATTTTTAACGAAATTTTGAGCAATCAAAGTTAAATAAAATGCTCCTTTTATTTAATTTGCAATAATTTAGTAACAAAAAATTTTGGGAATATTAAAAAAAATGAGTTTTTTTCTAAGGAAAACTTTAAGCTTTTACGTTAGAAAGTCAAAAATTTTGTAAGTTTTTTTGGGTACGTGATAAACCCACAAAATGAGAAGAAAATTCCCCATTTTGTCCAACTTATAATTTTCTACATTTAAAATCAAATTCACAAAAACTGAATAACATAGTAACCTTTCGAAAGTAGAGATTTTACTCTGAAAGCCCTTTCTAATAATTTAAATTTTGTTTATTTTTAACGAAGTTACTACTGCTTGAATTTTGAAGTAACGTTACTTCTGTTCTAACTCAATATTTAATTCAATTTATATGTCAAGAAGGGACTTGGTTTACTTTAGTTGAATTTCTCTTAACCCACATTATCCATCCATATTTTCTATTAGTATATATCACATTAATTAAAATTCGCAATTAAATATTGTTATTTTCTAAATCTTCCCCTAAAACTTATTTTATATGTTTATATTTCAGAAAATAATGTTTCTTAATGTTAATTAATTGCGAAACCAATATATATATATATATATATATATAT